CCCGGACCCAAACTATACCTGCTGATACTGAGAGTATTTGATGGGGTCCTTTTCAAACACTTCATATGTCTGAGATTCCAGATTGTCCATCAGTGGCTGAAAGGGATGAAAACGGAGGTTCAAAAGGCAAAGTGAGGCAGCCCGCTTCAGGCAGGGGCACTGTGCCAGAATACCAAAAACTTTCCCACTGCCTCCTGAGCTTTGGTAGGATTTTAGGGCACCTACTGCCAGAGACATTTTCCCCATGGCTCCCTCCTCTCAGCGCACTCCAGACCCACCTGGAGGGGGGACTGCAGATAGTCTTCATAGCCCTTGGCAAAGAGTTCATAGGCATTGGGTGGAGGGCGGTTCTGGCTCAAGTATTCCAGGTACTGGAGGTAAGAGCAGAACTCCTTCTCTGAGTGGTGATTGGTGCCCGTGATGATGAACTGCACTTCCAGCTGTGAGAGAGGGCAGACAATCAGACACAGTCCTTGAACCAAGCTTCTGGGATACTGTATGGGTTATGGCCAGAGAACCCTAGTATAAAATAAGGCCTGGACTGGCAGTCTTCCAGTTCAACAAATCCCTCCAGATATCAACAAAGCAGCATGAGGCTTCAGTAAACTCAAAAAGCCCTTCTATGTCCCTCCTATGTCATGTAAGCATCATCATGGCTCAAACAGCCCCGTGGATCCTCGCTGTAACATCTTAAATGAAACCCTCTATGAAGTTCTCATAAGATCTAGTTCCTTTTGAAATGTTTCTGGGACTCCTACTGCCAGTTGCCTCTTTGTTCTCAAGACCTCCAACTTTGCTGAAATTGCTCTCCAGAAACCAGAGAAGAAGACAATCAGTCCCACAGGAAAAAAAACATCACACATATAGGAGTAAGGCAAGAGGATTAGCTGGAGTACCTCTGAAACCCTTTGACCACCCACCTTGAGGAGCCGGAAGATGAGCCTCTGGTGCATCTTAGAAAGAACAGGAAATCCCTTCTTATTGGTCAGGAAAATGCTGGTGGGGAGAATAGCTGCTTTGATGGGCTCCCCAAGCCAACGATCAATGACATGATTAGATGGGAGGTCAGCCCCAATTTCAAGAGCTATGAAAAGATAAAGAAAGACCACTTAACCTACTGCTAGGCAAGACAGCTTTCCTTTGTGCTTTTTTCTGCAAGATCTGTAGACTACCTAAGAGCAAGGCAGACTGAGGCACAGAGTAGCAAAACTGCCTAGCAGCCAAGTATACATGAAACTCCTGATTTTTTTTTAGCTGTATCCAGCTTCACTAAAGATACTTTTCATAAACAATCATGGTCATTTCAGGCAGGACATGGGCAGACAATCCTCAACAGTATACAACTACTTTCAAACTCTCTTCCTCAGTGGACTACCAAAATCAGAGAGCTACAGTAAATCCCAAAGATGTGATGCTCTGAATAGGGAAAGTTTAGAGTGCAGGTTGACAGTTCACATTTAGCATGTTGTTTAACAACTTTTCACAAGCTGACCCTGACTTTCAAGAAATTAAATGAAAATGTTAGAATTTTCAATCTGAAGATCCACAAGCTAAAAGAGGAACTCTTTTGAGGGATGCCACCTCTGTGGTGATAATCCAAAGTCCATATTGTTTGACATACTAGGAACAACGTTTTGGGGTCAGGTTCCAACAGGTCCCTGGGTTAAGGGAGTCAGGTCTATTGAAGGCATAGAGGGGAAAAGAGGATGTAAAAAATGAATTTTAGTTTTTCCCCACCACAAGGCATCTGTGCCAAGGTGGCTAATATGTATCAACATCAAGGAATCCCTCCTCTGGGGCACCTGGTGGCACGTTAAGCGTCTGCCTTTGGCTCAGGTCATGATCCCAGGGTCCTGGGATCGAGTCCTGCCTTGGGCTCCGTGCTCCATGGGAAGCTTGTTCTCCCTCTCCCACTCCCCAGCTTGTGTTCCCTCTCACTATGTCTCTGTCAAAAAAAAATAAATAAAATCCTTAAAAAAAAAAAAAAAAAGGAATCCCTTCTCCTGGGAACCAAGAGGAAGCTTCTCAAAACTAGAAGGGAAGGTGTTCCCCCTCCCCATGCCACTCTCCCAGTATTAATCTAGCTTTGGAGATATTCTATTAGTGACATATGCCCTTCCTCCAAAACAACAATGAAGTGTTCTGTGTGCTAACAATATAGCTTTAAAAAAGAGTAAAACAAAATTCTGCATTTTTTATAAAAATTGATAAAAAGCAGTATTTCAAACTGTAAAGTCACCAAAAGTACAGAGTTATCAAAAATGCACACACTCCACTTGGCATCTCTGAAACTCCTGATTCTTAGTCACAGGAGGTCAGAGAAGGAAAACCTACCCAAGACCCTTGTAGACTTACCCACCGCAATCCTTTTGCTATAGTCACACAAGGTCCGGAAGTTGTGCCACCTGTCCAGGGTGAAATACACAAAAATACAATCAAATATATATGGTCCACTAATCACCATAGCTGGAGGAGACTACCCTACAGGCTCTACCCTGTACTTTCCCTCCTCCTCCCCTCTGCCCTGGTACAGCAGCAAAAGGAGACATACCACATCCATGTCTTCTCCTCTCCACTATATTCCTCTGTATGTGTACTCGGTGCATTCTCAATGATATCATCTCTCAGGTCCTCTGGAGCCACCAAGGGTACCCGCATCCAGAACTGCACATGAACAAGTACCCTTAGTTCTAAGTACCCCTAGAATTCTATTTTGAACTCATGGGGTCCAGAACGCTTCCTTCAATTATCTTGATCCAGATCTCAAGTTAATCCTTTTATATGTGTTTCCCAACTTGTGATTATATGTACCCATACTCATATCTTGTATATATCCTTATGTAAATATCTGTCCTGTTCTTAATTGCAACTGTAAGTTTCTAGAAATAATTGCACATTCTGTATGTTTTCTACCCCTCTGCTTACTACTTTTAGATGGTGGTAGGCAGTACTGACATTTCAGTTCTGCCAAATGCACCCTTTACTGAATGGCTAGGAACAAGAAGGTACCTAGCATAGCCTGACTACCATAATATGCAGCAGGAAATGAGGTTCTCAGCCATACCATGGATGAGTGGTGGCCAGTGTGGATGTGGTTGGTCAAAACCCTGGCCAAGTTTGTGTTATCTTCCTGATTTAGGGGCAGCAGGAAAGCTGGAAGGCCCAAATATGCCCCAAAATTCAGCTCCTGTAACATGGCCTGGAATGGAGATCAAGAGGAAAAGGTTAAGAGCTAGCAACCCAAATAACTTTGACTGCATTATATTAGATTTACTAAGTTATGGGAGGAAAAAAAAGGCTCTCTGCACCCAGCCGGGTTAAGGACTTGATCTCTAGAAAAGATCCAGTGGAGAGGTCAAACAGTCTTACCGCCTCAGAGTTCCTGCGAATCTTCTCCACTTTTGAGTCTGGACGAATCCATGGGGAAAGCTTTCCCACAATTAGCGTATTCCAGTCTGCACTCCCCCCATCCAAGAAAGACAAAGACTAAATGAGGTTCAGCACTTGTTCAATTTCTATTTCTTAACAGGAAATAGAGAGTAGAGTTGAGAGACAGAGACTTTTTCTATCAGAGATGTGGGATAGCCCGATGCAGAATAAACTAAGGCTTTTTAAGCAGGTAAGCAAGAAGAAAACAAGAGTTATCTATGTCCCAGAACTAATCAATATATCCAAGTCAGGAAAGGAGAATAAGGGCACTGTTAGAGCAATTGTTACTGCCTCTAATAATTAAGGGGCATATGGGATGGTCCCTACCCCTTCCTGACAGCAGTAGGTCTGATCGTGTCTGGGGGCCCGGCCGATTCTTAGCAGGTTCCTGAGTGAACTCCCTCTTGAAACGCGGGTGGAAGACAGGCATGCAGAGGAAATCAAACCTACAACCGCGACAGACCCAGAATCGTCATGTAAAGAGAGTAGCAGTGCCCAAAAAATCCAAGCAACTGGATTAGGCTAGCTCAATTCTGCACAACCCTTTTAGCCACCATCAGTCACCCGACTGGATTGCTAAATTCAGCCCACCTTGGTGCCTATCACTTCCGCTGCACTGTGCCTCACTTTCTTCCCACAACATAGGCATGAAAAAGGAGAAAAGATAAAAACCACGCCAAGTGGATTTTCTACTCTGCTGTCTTGGGTTTTCCAAGACTGTCACATCCAGATTTGCCCCAGTACCGCCCATGCCTTCCCCCTCAGGGTTTACCTCTTCTCTTCCTAACCCTCTAACACTCCCCCGACTCGCAGACTATAATCCCGCTCTCCGGGGCCCTGGAGGTCTGTAGTCCCCTTTTTGAGTTTACCTGACAACTCCCCTGACTTTGGGGCTCAGTGACCATATGCCCCAGCAAGTTTTTGTTTGGTTGGGTTTTGTTTTTCTTTTTTTCCCCACACTCCAGGCTCTAAGGCTTCTCGATCCTCCCCCAAGGAGTAATGGTTTCTCCCGCCCTAATCTTACCCACTCCGACCCCCTAACCCCTGCCTCTTGAGGATGACTAGTCTGTCCCTCTTCGACCCCGAGTTCGGAGCCCGCATTCCGCTTGCGGAGGTCTGGGCCCTCACCCCTGCTTGGCCACAGCCCCCAGAGTGTCAGCTATTTCGGGGACGCAGTTCAGGTCCCGCCCGCTGGACACGCGGCTCCCACCAGCACCTCCGACCGCCATCGCCGCCATCTTTTCCCTCGCGTTGTCCACGCCGGGATTCCTTGCTATTAGCAGCCAATCACAAAGCCAGAAAAAAGCCCCCGGAAGGCGGGATAAGTCGCCCTAACAACCAGAGCGTCTTCTAGGGCTTCAGAGCAGGAGGCGTAGGGGTGGGGAGTGGTTCTTCCCGCCAATCCGCGGGCTGCACAGTGACGTACGACGTGGCTCCGGAAGATCCACCAATCTCAGGGTCTGATTCTCGACGAGCTTCAATCTCCCATAATGCTTCGTGAATTCATGGGCCTCTGTTGAGGGACTACACCTCCCATGAAACCCTGCAGTCAAAGCTTGAAGTAACATCGTGGAAAGAAGCGTAATTGTCTCAGGGCCAGTGGCGCAATGGATAACGCGTCTGACTACGGATCAGAAGATTCCAGGTTCGACTCCTGGCTGGCTCGGTGGGACTAAGGTTTCTTTATTGCATGTTGTGCGAAGCAGGATCTTTTAAGTCTCTCTTCCTTTCCTTAACACTTTCCGAAGTTTTCTTGTTCTTCACGCTTTCACTTTTCAGGTCGTAATTCGAGTTCTGCAGCCATCTATATCAGCTTTTTTCCGTTAATTCAGAGTTGGTCTTGTATCACTGCTTGGGTCCATCTAAACCTCGAAAAAATTGGGGCTCTGGCTGGTGCTCTTAAAATGGGCTTTGTAGGGCCTTAGTATAGTTACAAATAGATTGTGGCAACTCAGCCACTAATTCCTCATGATTCTAAATCTCAAAACACAAAAGGTAAACACACACGCACACGCACGCACGCACTCCTTCACAGTGAAGCATTACAGCGGAGAGGAGTCATGAACTGCCTAGCGGAGGCCTGGGAAAATATCTTCATTCTTGTTAGAGGGACAGAACGGAAGGAGAGGAATGAAGCCAGGAAAGACACAGGGAAGAGAGTACCCCCGAAGGCAGGGAGCCCAGAGATGTTGAGGGCCTGGCAGCGGAGATGGAAAGGAGAGCACAGTACAAAAGGCCCGAAGGAGGAGGCGTTGACAGAACTTCGGAACTGCCTGCCTAGGAGCCTTAAGAAAGAGGAGTCTGGGTTCTGGCCTCTGAGTGAAACAAGAAAGAAGTGGGTTTAGGGACAGTCAGAGTCGGGTTTGGAAAGCTGAATTAATTGGACGCCTAGGGGGCGCTGTGTAATAGAGAGTTGGATGTACAGTGAGGTGAACCAGACAAGATTTGGAAATGGCCAGAAAAGAGGTAGTGACAGAAGCCACCAGACTGAATGAGATCATCCTGGCTCGTCTGGGACAAAGTCCTTGGTAAGGGTTTGGATAGGATAAGCTGTAAAGAGCCATGGGTGCAATGTAAGTGCTCCAGAAGGATGAAATTCTGAAAGCCAAACAAGTTAAGAAAATATCTATGAAGCCTGAAGGGGTTGGAAGTGCTTTTGTCTCATCTTAGTCTTCATTTGGTTTTTGCAGATATTACTGCTAAAGCTACTACAACAACAACTACTACTAGGCTTTATTTTTAAAACGATGTTATTTATTCATTTGTCAAAGAGAGAGCACAAGCAGGAGTGTCAGGCGGGGGGGGGGGGGGGGGGAGGCTCCCCACTGAGCAGGGAGCCCATTGCCCATGTAGATGCAGGACTGGATCCCAGGACCTTGGGATCATGACCTGATCCCCTGGGATCATGACTTGATCCAAAGGCAGACATCCAACTGACTGAGCCACCCAGGCTTGTTTGCTTGCTTGCTTGCTTTTTTTTTTTTTAAGATTTTTATTTATTTACTTGATAGAGGTGAGAGATCACAAGTAGGCAGAGCAGCAAGCAGAGAGAGAGGGGGAAGCAGGCTCCCCGCGGAACAGAGAGCTAGATGTGGGGGTCAATCCCAGGACTCTGAGATCATGACATGGGCTGAAGGCAGAGGCTTAATTCACTGAGCCACCCAGGTTTCCCCAGGCTTTATTTCTGAAAACAGTTTTAGATTTACCCAAAAGTTGCCCAGACAGTGCAGGGAGTTCCCATATGCCTCCCCACAGGTTTCTCTGTTACTAACATCTTAACATATATCGTACATTTATTACAACTCATGGACTAATGCTGACACATTTTTAATAACTAAAGTCTATAGTTTATACAGATTTCCTTAGTGTTTACCTAATGTCTCCTTGGCTCCTCTGGGCTGTGTCAAGTTTCTCAGTTGTTCCTCATTTTTGATGGCCTTGATAGTTTTGAGAAATACTGGTCAGGCATAGTATAGGATGCCCCTCTATTGGAATCTGTTTGATTGTTTTCTCATGATGAGACTGGGATTATGGGTTTGGGGAGGAAGATCACAGAGATAAAGTGTCATTTTCATACTGTCTTGTCAATAGTAGGTACTATCAACATCATTTATGACTATTGATGTTTACCTTTATCACCTGGCAAAAGTAGTGTTTATCAGGTTCCTCTACTGTAAAATTACACTCTCCCCACCCCCTTCCATCCTGTGCTCGTTGGAAGGAAGTCACCATGTGCATCCCATACTTAAGGGGTAGGGAGTTATGCTGGCCCTCCTTTAGGGTGGAGTGTCAACAATATTTATTTGGAATTCTTCCCTGCAGGTCTTATGAGTAGGTGACTGTCCAAAGGAAGTGGGTGAGTGCTCTACCAACACTGTAAGAGGTAAAAGAGAGTTTGGAGGAGGCCTGCTTGTTCTGTGCCCCAGCTGTGCCCAACCAAATTCTACATTCAGAGAAGACTTATTAGATGTTGTTTCTTCTTCAGAAGCTAATTATCTGGGCTGTGGACCGTCTGTGCTCCTGGCATCTTCCTCCTGATGTCAAGCTGGTGGCTGCTCTGTTGGTTGTTAACTAACCCATCCATGGGTAAGAGTGAAGGAGGAATATCTATGAAACAGTAATGTAAGTTTTGCCATTGGTTAAAATAATTTTCGAAAGAACTTGTGCAAAAAGAGCCTGGAATGTCTGGCTGGCCTTAAAATAACTTCATATGGACTGAATTTCATTTGTCTGTGATGTCTTTTCTTTTTTTTTTTTCCATTCAAAATGGCCCCAGGTCTATGGCAAGCATGATGCTGAACAGTTCCCAGTAATTCCATACCGCATTGCTCCCCGCCTTTCCGACAGCACTTTCCTGTGACTTCTAGAAATAGCAGGTACTATGAGTCTGCCTATATGAGCCAGAGAGAAGCAAAAGCAAAGGAGTGAAAAAGAAATAGAGTACCTGGTAAAGTCAGAGCTAGTGAAGAAGTCTGTCTTCTGTTCAGCCTCCCTCTGCCCCGCCCTCCATGCTGAACTCTTGTGCTCAGAAGCATGTAAATCACTGACTGGAACGCCTACTGGATGCAAGCCTTTGCTGAGATGAAAAGGTAGGGAGATGGTAGGTCAGAGCGAATACCCTGGGTATTTGAGAAATAATGTTACTTTCTCCAACAGGAGCCAGTGACCAACAGGCAGACCCTTGGAAACTTCTCTGGAAAGGAAAGAGTATCCTCTTGCAGAGAATTCTCCCCTTGTCCCTCCACCCCCTTCCCCTCACATTCCTCACCTCCAAGCCCAGTTCTTTTACCTGATCCTGTTTTTGTGACCTTGTTTAAACACCTCCAGCCCATTGTAAACACTCCTTTCATCTCTGGTGCTCAGCTCCTCCTTCAGCACTTACCTCCCTCCCCAGCACCCCTTCACTCACCTCTGTGCCTGCCCAGCCAGCTAGACTCTTCAACACCAAAATAATGGCCCGTTTGACCCTCCTACTGCTCCCAATTGCTTCTGTACAATCAAGGCTGTCCTGCAGCTACCAAAGTGGCAGAGTTACTGAGGCAAAATAATCTGTGCCGATTTGCATTCTCTTCCTTGTCAGCTCTATTATACAGTGTTTATCTGTCAAAATGAATAGAAAGTAGAAACTGTTCTGGAACACAGGAAAAGATGGAAAATTACCCGATTTGTTTACAAAGCCAGAACATACCGAATAGCAAAACCTGTCAGAAGAAGCCCCCTGCCCCAAAAAAACCCTATAGAACAATCTCACTTATGAATATATATGTAAAAATCCTAAAATATTTAAGTTTAACATATAAAAGACAGCAGTATATTAACATAATAATTACATACCAAAACCAATTGGGGTTTAATGTTGGGACTTAAGGTTAGGTCTGAAGAAATTTATTTAAATAAAAGATCAAAAATAAACCAAACAAGAAAAACATCTGATCATTTTTAAGAGTCACCAAACAGAACATGGCAAATCAATTCCATTTGCTGTAAACACTCCTAATAGTCTTAATATTCTTCATATATAAATGCATATATGTATATATATGAAGTCAACAATGTATGTAAAAACAAGAATGTCTAGTCTCATCACTATGTCATTTAGTATTACTGTGAAGAATCTGGAAATTTTAAGAAAGGGTTGTAACTTTTGGAAAGAGAGACAAATTTATCACTGTTTGCAGATGATATGATTGTATACATAGAGAATCCATGAGAATCAATTTTAAAATGAGAATTAATAACAGAATTCAGAAAAGTCACTTGATACAAGACAAATACAAATCTGTAGCCTTTCAAATGCTGAGAATCAACAATCAAAAGACATAATTAATAAAAATATCCCAACAACATGATAGTTAAGATAATGGACTGTGGAGCCAGATGGTTAAAGCTCTGTCTATCCACTTACTAACTACATGAACATAACCTCTCTGGCCTCGGTTTCCTCGTCCATAAAATGGGAATGTAAATAATAGTACTTAACTCACAAAGCTGTTAAGAGGATTAGTTAAGTTTTGGGGTTGTTGGGGTTTTTTTTAAGATTTTATTTCTTTATTTGCCAGAGAGAGAGACAGTGAGAGAGAGAACACAAGTGGGGGAGTGGGAGAGGGAGAAGCAAGCCGAGCAGGGAGCCTGATGAGGGGCTGGATCCCAGGACTCTTGGGATCATGACCTGACCCAAAAGCAGGTGCTCAACAAATGAGCCATCCAGGCACCCCAGGATTAGTTAAGTGTAAATTAGTTACAAATACTAAAGCATTGAGAACCTACCCTGCACATAATAAGCCTTCAATACTATGATTAGTTTTTTCCTCATTCACAACAATAACAAGAACATTGCTATAAAATACTTAGCTAGAGCCTTCCTGAAAAATGTGAAGAACCTATATAAAGAAAATTACAAACTTTTGCTGAGAGAAAAACTGAAAGACAGAAATAAAATGGAGAGACAAACCATGTTCTTTAAAAAAAAATCCTATAAAGATGTCAATTCTTACCAAATTAATTTCTCACTTTTACAACATCTAATCACAACTCTAATGGAATCTTTTGTACTTGATAAAATGATTCTACTGTTCATTTGTAATAAAAATCAGACAAGAAAAGCAAAGAAAATTCAAAAAAGGAGGAGAAAGGAGAAGGAACTGACTCTATACTTTAAGCCCTTTGCCTTAAACCCTTTATGAAATAAGCAGTAGATAAATAAATAAAGGGCTACAATGTGCAGTTGGTTTAAGAATAGAGAGACTAAAAGAGCTAAACCAGCAGCCCAGAAACAGACCAGTTATATGTGTATACATGTTTGTGATGAAATATATGATTTGATTTGTAATAATAAAACCAGCTAACGTACTGAGCCCTTATTTTGTGACAGGTTCTATGAAAAGCACTCTACATTCGCAAGAACTCTGTGAGGTAGGAGGTATTATTCTCTTGGTCTTAGAAAGATAAAGTGAGTTGCCCCCCTAAGAAGGGGTTTAGGTGGGATGCAAACTTAGGTCAACTGACTCTGGAGCCTTTGATCTTAACCTTAAGGCATATTAGCTATAATTTTCCTTCCAGAAAGCTATTCTAGACAATCTGCACAAACTAGGACAAAGATTAATTAAGAGAAATGCTTAGTGTAACATTTTTTAAATGATTACAAAGAATGTAAAACAACAAGTTGGATATCCTATAGAGGTATGGTTAAATAAATCATCCATGCAATGAAATCTTAAGCAGCCATTAAAATCAATGTAGCCAGAGAAAATTTAATAACATGGAGGGGCGCTCAATGATATGCTCTTCTGACACAAATTACAAACTGTACATACAGAATGACTTTGATATGTGGGGAAAAATGGTATTTTCCAAATTTTCTGTAATAAACATGTTTATATTATAGGGAAGACATTTTTTTTTGTAATGGCTTTAATAATATTTTTTTTAATTTTATTTTTTATAAACATATATTTTTTTCCCCCAGGGGTACAGGTCTGTGAATCGCCAGGTTTACACACTTCACCGCACTCACCATAGCACATACCCTCCCCAATGTCCATAATAACCCCACCCCCCCTCCCAACCCCCCTCCCCCCAGCAACCCTCAGTTTGTTTTGTGAGATTAAGAGTCACTTATGGTTTATCTCCCTTAGGGAAGACATTTTTAAAAATGAGTATAAAACCAAGGTGCCTGGGTGGCTCAGTCAGTTAAGCATCTGCCTTTGGCCCAGGTCATGATCCCAGGGTCCTAGGATCAAGCCCCACATCTGGCTTTCAACTCAGCAGAGAGACTGCTTCTCCCTCTCTCTCTGCTGTTCCCTGCTGCTTGTGTTCTCTCACTCTGTCAAATAAATAAAGTCTTAAAAAAAAAAAAAAAGAGTATAAGACCTGTGCCCTCCCTCTGGGCTTTCTACTTGTTTAGATCCTTCTTTCTGTTGAAGACCCCACCCCTTCCCTGTCTCCAGGCCCCTAAAGCCCCATCTTCAGCAGTTACTCTCACCTCAAAGCACTAAAATAGCCCTCCTACACAGACTAGTATTTGTTCAGTCCTATCTCTACGCCAGGCACTTTCTTTCTTTCTTTATTTTTTAAAGATTTTACTTATTTATTTGACAGACAGAGGTCACAAGTAGGCAGAGAGGCAGGCAAAGGCGAGGAGGGGGAAGCAGGCTCCCTGCTGAGCAGAGAGCCTAATGCAGGGCTCGATCCCAGGAGCCAAGGATCATGACCTGAGCTGAAGGCAGAGGCTTTAACCCACTGAGCCACCCAGGTGCCCCTATGCCAGGCACTTTAAATATATTTTCTCACTTAATCCTCAGGACATAATCTTCTGGGGAAAGAATTACTGATATACCCATTCTGTAGATGAGAAAACTGAGATTAAGTATCTTGAATGAAGTTATGCTTTGGTTAAATGGTAGAGCCAGAATGAGAATCCAGTTCTTCTAATTCCCAGCTCACTGCTTTTTCTTTTACCTTTCCCAAAATGTGGTCCAAGGACCTTGGGGCTCCCTGAGACCCTTTTCAGGAGGTGCTTAAGGATCTCCTACATGTCTGTGTGAGGCCAAGTTTTCTTTATTCAACCAAAGCCATGTACCACCACAGAAAGAAGATAAAGGAATTCACTTGTCTTCTATTAAACCAGGTATCAAGGAGATTTATAAAAATAAAAAACAATGTTACTCTTGTTGTTAAATTTTGTTTGTTTCGGAAAATATACTTCTTTTACTAAAATGTATTTTTGGGGTGCCTGGGTGGCTCAGTTGGTTAAGTGTCTGCCTTCGGCTCAGGTCATGATCCCAGGGTCCTGGAACTGAGTCCTGTATCAGGCTCCCTACTCGGCAGGGAGTCTGCTTCTCCCTCTCGATCTGCCCCTCCCCTCTGCTCGTTCTCTCTCTCTCTCAAATAAATAAAATATATCTTTTTAAGATTTTATTTATTTGTCAGAGAGAGAGCAAGAGAGCAAGCACAAGCAGGGAGAACAGCAGGGCGAGGCAGAAGCAGGCTCCCTGCTGAGCAAGGAGTCCGATGGGATGCGGGACTACATCCCAGGACCCTGGGTTTGTGACCTGAACCGAAGGCAGCAGCTTAACCAACTGAGCCACCCTGGCGTCCCTCTCAAATAAATAAAATCTTTATTTTATTTTATTTTTATTTCTTTTCAGCGTAACAGTATTCATTGTTTTTACACCACACCCAGTGCTCCATGCAATAAGTGCCCTCCTTAATACCCACCACCTGGCTCCCCCAACCTCCCACACCCCTAAATAAAATCTTTTAAAAATGCATTATTTATGCTAACATGCAACGAGCTTTTTTTTAATGAATTAATAAATTCTTTAAAATTTTCTCAGTTTTAATTTTTTTGATTGGGAAAATATTCGGTTTATTCAGTTTATTGTGAATGTCTGGAATATCAGATACATCATTTCAATATATAAATATCCAATCACAATTCAAAGTCCAATTTAGATTACCTGGATTTTTTCTTTGCTCTTCTCTAACAATGACAACTAAGACCCTTCTATATTTTATTAGTTTCTTTATTTTTTTTAAAAGATTTTATTTATTTGACAGAGATCACAAGTAGGCAGAGAGGCAGGCGGGGTGGGGGGTGCGGGGCTCCATCCCAGGACTCTGGGATCATGACTAGAGCTTAAGGCAGATGCTTAATAACTGAACCACCCAGGCATCCCTATCTTCAACTTTTTCTGAATAAAAAGTTTCTGTTCTTAAGACATAGGCTTAAAATTCATATATTTGATATTACTACATGGCATTTTATCTGTAATAGGAAGAAGGAAATCGAATTTCAATGAATACTAGAAAACTATTCAGCCCTTACTCATTATTTACTGTTTTTTCCCCTCTGACATGATGCAGAAAGTCCTTTTGGTTCTATGTCTGCCACCAGGGACTACGTACTACGTTCACAAACTTGAGATCTAATCAAGAACATATTCAAAAGGCACCTGGGTGGCTTAGTTGTTAAGCATCTGCCTTTGGCTCAGGTCATGATCCCAGGGTCCTATCAAGCCCCACATCAGGCTCCCTGTTCAGTGGAAAGCCTGCTTTTCCCTCTCCCACTCCCCCTGCTTGTGTTCCCTCTCTTGCTGTGTCTCTCTCTCTGTCAAATGAATAAATAAAATCTTAAAAAAAAAAAGAGTTAAGGGAAAAAATCATTATTTTTAAAAAAAGATCATATTCAAGAAGATTTATTTGAGAGAAAAAGAGAGAGAAGAGCAGGAGTAGAGCAGAAGGAGGGGCAGAAGCAGACTCCCTGCTGAGGTGGGGCTAGATTCTAGGATGCTGAGATCATGACCTGAGCCCAAGGCAGACACTTAACTGAGCCACCGACTGAGCCACCCAGGTGCCCCAAGATCATACTTAAAGATCAAAGCAGTTGTGACTTAATGGAACTTGGATACTATATGACTCCACCTTGGCAAAGGGTTACATTCAAGAAACTCCATGCTCAATTAAAAAAAATAAATAACTTTTTTGATCACTGTTGATATTCTCTCCATTTTTTTTAAAGATTTTATTTATTTTAGGGGTGCCTGGGTGGCTCAGTGGGTTAAGGCTCTGCCTTCAGCTCAGGTCATGATCTCAGGGTCCTGGAATTGAGCCCCGCATTGGGCGCTCTGCTCAGCGGGGAGCCTGCTTCCCTCCCTCTCTCTATGCCTGCCTCTCTGCCCACTTGTGATCTGTCAAATAAATAAATAAAATCTTTAAAAAATAAAAATAAAAGATTTTATTCATTTTATTTGTCAGAGAGAGAGAGAGAGAGAGAGTACAAACAAGAGGAGCAGCAGGCAGGAGAAGCAGGATCCGTGCCGAGCAGAGAGCCCGATTTGGAACTTGATCCCAGGACCCTGGGATCATGACCGAAGCCGAAGGCAGACGCTTAACTGACTGAGCCACCCAGGCGTCCCTCCATTTTGATATTTTTTAAAGATTTATTTATTTATTTGACAGGTAGAGATCACAAGTAGGCAGAGAGGCAGGCAGGGGACAGGTGGGGGGGGGGGCGGGGAAGCAGGCTCCCTGCTGAGCAGAGAGCCCGATGTCAGGCTCAATCCCAGGAGCCTGAGATGGTGACCTGAGCAGAAGGCAGAGGCCCAACCCACTGAGCCACTCAGGCACCCCTCCATTTTTATTTTAATATGAAAAATATCTACAGATAAAACATATAAACAGAGCTCTTTGGAGTCCTTTAAAATCATTGAGAGTAGAGGAGTCCTGAGATCAGAAAGATTGAGAACCCTTGGTTTACTAGCAGCTGCCCTCCAAGAGCTTCTTCTTTCTTTCTTTCTTTTTTTTTTTTTTTTTTTTGTAAGATTTTATTTATTTGAGAGAGAGCATGAAAGGGACGAAGGTCAGTGGGAGAAGCGGACTCCCCCGCAGAGCTGGGAGCCTGATGTGGGACTCAATCCCATGACTCCATGACCATGACCTCAGCTGAAAGCAGTTGCTTAACCAACTGAGCCACCCAGGTGCCCCCACCAAGAACTTTTGATGCTGTAGATAGGATGAAACATACCTCCCCGAGTTCCCAAGGGCACTGACCCTCTCGAGGGTAAAATGTTCCAGTGCACCCTGTCTCGATACTTTAAAAAGAAATCAGGTGGTTTGGATTGGGTTCCCTATCCATTGGCCTCCATCCCTATCAGAGCCCCGATGTAATCCTGGAAGAACCACCAGGCGAAATGGGTGGTATCTGCTTTCTGTTCTCCATCCCCATGCAGGAGACTGCTGCCTTCATAAAGGCAGAGGCATGAGGGTGGGTAACGAGTTGAGAAGAAATAAGTGTCAAGGTGACCTATTTTTCCCAATGCCAGAAGAGTCCTGGGGCAGGTGTTAGCAAACTCTGGAAGTTGGCGTGCTGCCTGTTTTTTGCAAAAAAAGTGTTATTGGGATACAACCATACCCATTCGAAATAGATAAATCAATAACCTTACCTCCCAATATTTTGATGCAAATTCAAGCACCTCACATGGCAAGCCCCTTAAAGAAGTTGTGACAAAGATGTGGGGATTTATTTATTTATTTTTTTAAAGATTTTATTTATTTATTTGACAGACAGAGATCACAAGTAGGCAGAGAGGCAGGCAGAGAGAGAGGAAGGGAAGCAAGCAGGCTCCCTGTTGAGCAGAGAGCCCGATGCGGGACTCGATCCCAGGACCCTGAGATCATGACCTGAGCCGAAGGCAGCGGCTTAACCCACTGAGCCACCCAGGCGCCCAAGATGTGGGGATTTAAATGGGAGACCTTTTCCACCTGGAATGACAATGGAGAAGCAGAACTTGAGGTGGGCCTCAGAGATGCTAGGATTTTATGAGCTAAGAGTTCTGCCAGGTAGATAGAACTGTAACAAGCACAGGAAAGTATGAAGGGGTGAGGAAGCCCACGGGGGTGGCAGAGGGTGAGGGGTGAGTGAAAACTGGGGTAAAAGTTGGAAAGTGGAGCTTCACCTCAAGGACCTGAATCCACAGCTAAGCCATGGGGACTCTCTTTGTAGAAATGACAAAACAAAGTGAAAATTACAAAATACGTAAGAAAAGCAAATTAGAATCATCATAAAAATTGGCCCGGCAGAGGGGTATGAGAGGAGGGACAGTTAGGACACTTGGTAAGGCCTCTAAAGGAGGACCTGCATAGGATGGGGCAGTGGCAGGAAAGGTGTCCATCAACCTCATAGGGTGGCAGGAGGACACTGGCGAGGTCTTCAGGATCTGGCCTCAGCTTCGTAGACCCAGAGCATCTGCCAGTAGTCCCCTGTGTCTTCAACTCCCTGCACTCACTAGAGCCCAGTATCTGTACTGTTGTGTCAATGTACTTGGGAGGATAGCACTTTCTAGTGGAAGGGATGTCCATCTGATGTGTGGGGCATCCTCGTCCCAGAGTCCGGGATAAGCAAATCAGTAAACATGTTGTTGCTTGGAAAAGACATACCTGGACCTAAGGTACCAGAGGGTCTTAGGACAGCAGGCTCTGGAACCAGACTGTATGGGTTCATGCCAGGCCTCTTCAAGTTTTGTGACATTGCAACAGTTACCCCCTCTCTCCATACCTTACTTAGTTTCCCAATTTGTAAGCTGGGGATGGTCATAGTACTCACCTCGGAAGTTTGCTGTGATAATCGAATGACTTATTACACACAAAGTACTTAGAAATCCTATCTGGCACCTAATAAGGTTTCAGAGCTCTTGTTTTATGAAGAGAGCTTGCAATCAGGCCTTGTTCCTGCCCCTAGTGAGCCCCTCTCTCCAGTAACCTAACTTATATCCCCAGTTCAGTGTCTCTTTCAAACAGGTTTAGGGCTAGAAGAAAACCAGAATACTTGTGTGATGGTGAATTTATGTGTTTCAACTTGGCTAGCCTATAGTACCCAGTTATTTATTTTTTTAAGTAATTATTTTATTTATTTATTTATTTATTTATTTGACAGAAACAGCAAGAGAGGGAACACAAGCAGGAGTGGGAGAGGGAGAAGCAGGCCTCCCGCTGACCAGGACTCTGGGACCATGACCTGGGTCAAAGGCAGAAGCCCAACAATTAAGCCACCCAGGTGCTCAGATTTTATTTGAGGGGGGGAGGAGCAGAGGAGAGGGACAAGTAGACTCCCCGCTGGGCAGGGAGGCTTGACATGGGGCTCCATGTCAGGACCCCAAGATCATGACCTGAGCCAAAGTC